TTGGGTCTTAGGTTTAGCTTCTGATGTCTGGAAAGGTGTTAGAGGAAGAGTCTGTTGGGGAAAAAAAAAAAAAAGCCCAATTCTAAGCTAGGACAGGTATTTTGCCCTTAATAGAAGAAATTAAATAGATCTGTCTGGAATTGGCATTCTTCTTTAACTGTTGGCAGCTGCCATCTGCTCTGAAACCATTTTCACATTTTAGGGTGCCAGACTCTGTACTGATGACTCACAGGAAATCGTGGGCACATGATCTTGGCTGTGGTCCTTTTGCCTAAAATAGCAGCAGATAAAATGATACTTGTTTTCTTATTTCTCGTGGATAAACGGGAGATCTGGCCTATCATGCTCAGTGTTTTCAGTATATTCCTGTTCCCTCTCCATGGTCTGTCAGCCTAGTCCACTAAGATTGTTAACTTTCTTTGAATTACAAATCATATGTGAACTATTGTGATGATTGTGATATTTGAATAAATAGCTTAATTATCAGACTAGCCCTTGTGTGTGTTTTTAATGTACAGGTTTTGATAGCCGTTTCATGAGATGAGTGTATTTTTCCTAGAAAGAGTTTGCTTTTAAGTGGTGTTTCAAAAATCATGAATCTAAAGGTACTCAAAAGAGCACAACAGTGGTGATCATTGGTAACAACTCTGAGAAGTTCTGTCACTGTTGAGCTCCTTGTCCTGACAGTGTTCCCCTCCACCCCCGCAGGGAGATTCTGGAAGTGTTCTCTGGAGACCTGCCCAGGCTGTATGTCCAGCTGCACAGACACCTTCGGGTCTTCCCCCAGGCTCAGCGGCTCTGCATCCCTAGTGGCGCCAAAGACACCACTGGGAGCAGGGGGTCCAGGTCGAATCCTGAATCCCATCCTCTTTCTTTTGTAAATGATAACGATGTTGGCACTTCGTGGATTTCACATGTGTTCACAAATATGACTCAGCTCAATCACAGAGTGACCATTTCAGTAGATTTGGGAAGTGGACAGTATCAGGTAAGTTGAGACATTGGGGTGTGTTCCTGTGACTGCTGCAACAAATAAACACAAATTTAGGGTCTTAACCAACAGAAATATATTCTCTTCAAGTCCCGAATGTCAGAAGCATGGAATTCAGAGACTGCCAGGGCTGTGCTCCCTCTAAAGACTTTGGGGAGAATCTTCCTTGCCCCATCCAAGTTTTGGTGGCTTTTGGTGCTACTTGGTTGGTGGCAGCGTAACTCTGGACTCTACCTCTGTTTCTCCTCGGCTGCCATCTTTACCTCTCTGCCTGTCAATTCTCCTTTTTCCATGAGGATCACTCTATATCCAGGATGACCTCATCCTGAGACCCTTTACTGTATTGCATCTGCAAAGAGACTGTGTCCAAATAAAGTCACATATACGGGTTCCAGAGTTAGTACTTGCATTTATCTACTTGAGGAAAAAATTTGACCTTTTTACAAAATAAAATTGACCTAAGCAATTGAATATTGCTGCACTAAATAGTGCAATAGATGTATGAAATTAAATAAATAGAAGATATTCAGGTCTTAATTTTTTAGATATTTGTATCAAAATGATATATTAAAACTACTTTCATTACTAAATAACAGAAAATAATGGAAAGTGTGGTGCATATTCTAGTTGAATATTGAAACCTATATAACAAGAAGATTTCTGAAAATATTAAAAAAGATCTACCATAAGACCCACTCCTAAATATCCACTGACAGAAGGCAAAACAGTCAAGGGCTGTGTGCACTCCTGTTAGTGCAGCACATTATCCAAAGTATAGAAACAGCCTAAATCCCGAGGGCAGAGGCTTGATTAGGAAGGTGGGGATATATAGCTATAATGCTCACTATTAAAAAAATAGGATTTTTTTTTTTTTGCCATTTGTGAATAAATGGATGGACTGGAGGGGATAATACTGAGCAAAACAAGTTCGAAGGAGAAAGACGAACACGTAATGGTTTCACTTACATACGGAATATAGAGAAAAAATATCAGACAAAAGCCAAACTGCTTACAAGTCCTAGAAGTCTGACTGTAAGGTTAAGGAACCAGAGTGGGGAGAGAGTAAGGTACCAGTGGGCTATGGTAGAGGTTTGGGTGCCCTGGTGGTGGGTGTGGTGTGGTGATATACTAGGAAGAGGTGTATCCCACACCGCTGCCTTATACACAGGGTGACACACCATGTTGTCTTTATAAGAAAACATATACAAAATCTTCCCAGTTATTTAATGGATGTAATGCCTCTATTTAGTATCAAATAGTAAGTTGCAGTTAAATTTATAAAATCCTTCAGAAAAGAGGAAGATTAGTAATTATCAAATGTGTTGCTTTTACTATAAGGCTATGATATTTAATAAATATTTAATAATTATCATCAGAAATCAACACTTAGTAATTATCATTTTGAGAAACCAAGCCATTCTGGTTGACTACGTGGGTTGACTTTTACAGATGAATCAAAATTAAACTTTGATGACAGTAATTTACTTATTCATTTTCAGGTGCTTTTTATTATCATTCAGCTCTTTAGCCCCCAACCAACAGCAATGAGGATTCAGAGGAAGAAGGACATGCTAGATTGGGAGGATTGGCAGTATTTTGCTAGAAATTGCAGTGCCTATGAAGTGAAAAACAATGGAGATTTGGAAAATCCTGAGTATGTCAACTGTCACCAACTTTCCAAGTAGGAACATTTTTAGACTTGGGGGGGAAGGAATCTAGGAGCTAATTTTAATAAACTTATACATTAGCATTAACCTCTACAGGTAACCTCACTCACTTGGCTGGTGAAAACTCCCCTTCACCATTACATTATTTGAGGCAGATTCTTTTAGGACTACTCTTGCAATAGAGTCTTAAAATATTTTTAAAAATCTATAAGAAATACAGAATGTCTCCTTGACATTCTCATTTGTGCTTCATGATCTGACTTTCAGTTTAATGTACAATTTACTACTATTAATTAAATTTTTATATCCTCAAGGAAATGTTTGTGTGATTTCCCCCCCACGATGCTCTTATATTCTTTGCCTATGAAATATGAGATAAATTCATTTTACTACAATGGAGAATTTAAGCTGTTACTAATACTGTGGGGCAGTGGCTCAGCATTGTAATACCTGTTTTGTCCAAACCAGTGAAACTTATTTCAGATTTCATTCATCAACAGTGTTACTCCCTATTCCAATGGTAACATCACCTTCAGCATCCTAACACCTGGAGTAATTCATCATTCTAAGTACAGCGACTTCTATAATACACTGTTTTTAGAACTCTGTAATAGAGTTTTTGGAAGCCACACAAATAAGACTTCATTTCCATGGGCAATACTATACCACAAACAGTCTCATCGGTCACCAGCACAGATACTATTTGGTCAATGAAGTCATTGTCACGGGGAGGTAGTGTTCATTACAAGGTTTTTATTCTTTGGGCTTTTCACTAACCATTAACAAGGCTTAGGTTACTGATGTTTATTTAAAAATACATAGAGCATGTAAGATCCCAAGCTACAAGTAGGGAAATATTTTCCTGTGCTGAGATTTTTTGAGGAGATTTGTGAAACTTTCCTATCGATATCACATTGTTAGGGAATCAGTTTCTAGAAGCTGTGGGGTTAAGGTGTTGTCATACCCTACATCTGACTTAGACTTATTTCACTAAGTGTTTTGTTTGATTTGTTTTGAAATATAACTTTGACTATACTCAAAATAAAGTGAAGGAGCTAGATTGGTAGTTACAGCTATAGAGAAAACAAGACTTGATTTCCATGAGTTCACAGTTAACTATTTTATGAGGTGTGTTTGTTTTTCTTTAGAGTGAACATGTCATATGTCTTAAATAATTTATAAATATCTGACGATAACAGTGTCAGTTCACAGTATTTTAAGATGTGAGTAGTTGGAGAACTATAACTAAGCATGATCTCCACTATGGAAATGGTACATGCTGGAATGACCTGGCTTGTAAATAATGTACATCTCTAAAAAAGACCAAAATACTACTCTATTAGCATCATTTGTTAATATAACAATGATAGACTAATTCTATTAAATATTCACATATATGGGCATGGTGTTCAAACAGATATCTGAAGAGGTATGAAAATAGATCCCAAGCCATATAGTATTATAAACCAGCATTACCAAAATAACAAATAATAGAATTTGAAAGGTATTCACCATCAATTGATAATGAAAATGAAATGAAATGGAAGTTTGTTAACTTCACTATGCATCTAATTCCAAACTTTGTAGTCTTCCCTGTCTTTTTATTAGTTTCAGTAAATGTGTCCCCAGGTATATATACCACATGGTAGATACAGGGGGAAGAATCCCCCCAGCCCATTTCAGTACAGCTTGAACATGACCTCACCTTCACTGTACAATTTGAGATGATGATGACATACTTTCCATGAGTGTCGCCACCACTAAAGAGAAACTGATTTTTGTGCCTAATAACATACTCATCAACCTTGAAGCATTCACACAGTGGATTTTTCAACGGGCTGTAAGTATATCCGCAGGTGCGTTGATGTTCCTTAACAGCTGTCTGATGCTTGTGTTCACAGATGTCAGTGCCACAGTCATGCTGAGATCTGTGACACCACAGGCCAACTGTATCAATGTCTCTGTGCTGAGCAGACCTTCTCCAAAGCCCTGCATGTGAGTTCTCTGTTTTATGCAGGGGGATCTCAAGAAAAACAGGGAGAACATTGGTGACTATAAACTCTTTAACTTAAAAATTTTGGTCTACCTTCATGGTATGAATAGGAATAGATGATATGAACCTAAGACATCAGTTCAGAAAAAAAAAATGTGTAGAGAAAGAAAAATGATCAATTTACATTGGAAATTTAATGATGAACTAACTCTGAAGGAAAGAACAACAAATGTGATAATCTGTGATGGGCTGCTGAAAGGTATTTGCATCCCATCAATAAGGGAAGAGTTAACATCTCTCCAGAAAGGAAATATTTTCTCTACTACCGTTACTTTCATTTCTGACAGACTAGATGTAGTTTGTTCTTTACCAAGTACTTCTCTAGTTATCAGTGGACACAAACTTGAGGTCCTACAGTTCAATTCAACATTGACATCAACCAGAGTTAGCAGAGCCCAAGATTCAGGATTCAGTCCTCCATGAATACCCCCTTACAGATAACAGTTGCAAATAGTGGATCCCTAGGTGATTCCCCAACTGCAAACCAACCATTCTCAAGATCTCTCTCTAGTATTTGATAATTTGCTAGAGTAACTTCCAGAACTTAAAAAGCAGTTTGCTTACATGATCACTACATATTATAAAGGGAATAAACTTCAGAACAGTCTGCTGGAAGGAAGAGAGAGGGGAGGTAGGTGCAAGGACCATCACGCTCTTGTGTCCTCCCTGGCTTATGGCTTTGCAGGCATTCTCACCTTCTGGTGGAAGCCCTCTTGATCCCCTTTGCCTAGAAAGTTTGTGGAAGCTTCTTCGTCACACAGGCACAACTGGTCTGGCATTTCTTCCCCTGCCATGGGGTCCCAGAGCAAGGCTAAATGTTCTAGCCCATGATCACATGGTTAGTTTTCCAGCAAGCAGACCATCATCCCTAGGGGCTGTCCAAAAACAACCCCATTAACATAAATGAAAGTGTAGTTGAAATAGACTTATTTTGAATGACAGAAGATGCACCATTTACCTTTATTGTTTTGCAGCTATTTCAGGAACTGGGATCCGGAACCAAATATAAGATGCCCCATGTGGCTTTCATCATTTAGGACATAGCCAGTTTTAGGAGCTCTGTGCCAGAAAACAAATACGTATTTCTTACTATGTCACAATGTTTAATACACTAATACTAATACTAATACTCAAAAGCTACTAGAACAAGTACAACTTAATAAAAAAGAGTGATTATATATATGTATATATATATATATATATATATATACACACACACATATACATATACACATGCATATATATATGCATACACACACACATATATATAATAGTAACACACACATATATAAAATAGTGTCTTCCTTGTAAATGATGTGTTTATATCATTTATATATATATATATATATATATTATACACACACACACACACATATATGATATAAACACATCATTTACAAAGGAAGGTAAGATAATATTCAACAAGCCCATAAAAGATTCCTGGCCTCAGTTTTAATGAGGAAAGTGAAAAGTATAATTAAGTTTTTTTAGTCTATCAAGTTAGCAAATATTTGAAAGACTGATAATCATGATTTGTGATAATATGAACTTTTATACATCATTGATGGGATTGCCAATTTGTATAATAGTTTTAGAGAGTAACTTGACCATATTTGTTAAAATTAAAGTTACAAGTATAGTAAATTACCTTATACAGTTGTCATCATCCTAAAAAAAGCAATTAATCAGCCATCAGTGAACAGAATGGTTAAATTTGTATCTTTTGTGCATGAAAAGATTGTTAGTATTTCTCCATTTTAAAATAGTAGCCCCCTCCCTTCGTACACCCCTGTGTGTGACTTGGGAATGCCCCCTGCCTCCTGGGCCTCGTACTCCTCTTTAATCAGGCATTTCATGTCCCTCTGTGCTTTGTTTCATAGGATATCTTGTTTTTAAAAAAACATCTCTCAAAGGTTTTGGCAAATTCCATTTCTGTCTTCTGAAGATCTTACTCTGATCTAATTTATTCGACTATGAAATGAGTGTGTATAGGTCAATGGCAAGAATATTATCTGAAAGGCAGATCCCTATAGCACATTTAGGATGTAGTTCTGCTCCTCAATTTCAACTGAGCTTTTGATTGGATTACATCCGCCCCTTCCTTTCCTTCTTTCTCAAACTGAAACTTTCATGTTCTAATTCAGAAGTCCCTTTGAACTTGTTCTCCAGGTCATTTCTGCATATTGTTGGTCTTTGTGTTTATAAGTTTAGTCTTCATCAGTAGTTGGTAATTACTCTAAAAAAGGAATCTGACATATATCTATATCTATCTCTCTCTCTATATATATGTATATGTATATATATGTATGCATGTATATGTATAGATACATATATATATATATTTTTTATTTCTAACATCTGGAGACTTTGATTTGATTCGTACATCATGAGGAAAATAATCTTTTAAAAAAGCATTGATTTTAATATGTTTTAGTGTATGGCTTATCATATTGCCACAGAAAGGAAATTAATTGGAGTAACTTGCTTGATTCACTCTTTATTCAGCCATAATTGTGTGTTTAAAATTTTGGCAATTTGATATATTCTTGATTTTAAAGTTAAAATGTCATTTATTCTATTATGTTAGTGTTCTCCTTTTGTTACTTCTAGATGAATACTTTTCTCCAGTAATTGGTCAGGTCTTTCATTAAACTCACCCCTCCTCCCCAAGCTCACTAATCACCCAATTAAGATACTGCTCTGGTATGAATTTAGTAGGATACCTTGATTCAGCCAATATGGTGTGTGCAAATGAGGCGTGGCTCAGACTTCCATGTGATATGTTGTCACCTGAGCATCTTGCTTCATTTTCACTAGTGGGTTCCTGCTTCACCCTCACTCCACCCCTCCCCAGCCCCTCTCTCTCCCTCATTTTACTTCTCCCTCTCCTAATTACTCACAATTTACTGATTGATATTTTGTGATTCTGGGATGATTTCATGCTTCTCCTTAAAAATAGAACCATTAAATGAATCAGGTCTCATGAGTGATTTCAGAAATCAAATGGGATTTTCAGATTTGCAAGTGGGATTTTCATATTTGGTCTCAGGTAGTGACTGTTGCTTTATGAACTAGTGAAATAACTAAGTATAATTTAGGTTGAGAATACATTTTAATGCTGCTCATTCAGACATTGGGTGCCTTTTGAAAACAAAGTTTTAAAAGTTGACTTTTTCATTATTTTCCCCCTTGATATATTTTGATAATTCATTTAGCCATAAATAATTTAGACATAATGATGATGATGATAAATAATGCCTTTAGCTGCAAATAAGAAATCATCAAATAACATGCAATTAGCGAAGTTTGGCAAATGCTGGTAAAGGAAGAAAAGTCAATAGATATTTAAGTTGTCTGGTTTCTCAGCCCTGTGATATTTTTAACAGTATGTCAAAAATGCTTCTGAATGCATGACTATATGTGACAGTATTTTTGTTATCATTGAATACCTTTTAAGATATGTGAGACGTACGTAACTGAAAAAGTTTGTCTTTCAGTAATTTGAAAGTATACTTAACCATGTATTTTTCATGTTGTTCCACTTTTTAAAACAGTATGTTTTAATATAAGTCTTTCACTTCCTACTGGAACCAATGATTTTTTTAAAGATCTGGATATAATCCAAAAGGAATGTCTTCAATTTCACAGTATTATGCCTACCATTAATAATATTACTCAATAAACAGGACTTTTGTGAATTATATTACAGCCATTTGGCAAACAGATGAAAACGTAAGCCTTGAGAATATGCCAGTTCTAGGCAATTGTCAATCCTATGAGGAAGTATTTTTAACAGAAATGAAAAATGAATGAAATTGGAAGGAAGGCGTAGCGTGGTGCAGTCAGAAACATTTTCCTATGTGTGGCTACTCGGGAACTTCTGTGGCAAACACTGGAGTCACCAGCAGGTGGTCCACAGGTGTCAACTGTGCTTAAACAGTGTTTATTTAATTTCCAACAAGGTTTTTCACTTAAAAAGAAATCTGACTTCTCTCACTGAGGAGGTAGCCCAGCACAGTGTCCTGCATGCAGTGGCTGCTGACTGGGGAGCGGGTCCTCTAGGAGCAGCTTCTCCCCTTGGAGCAGCAGCCACTCCCCTGTACATCACCTCCCTTGGGAACCCGACTTACACTGGGCGACCTCACCTGCAGCCACTACCTGGCTTTCAGAGAACTCAGTCTGTGAACCTTAAAAAAGTGAGACTTATACTATATTGAAACTTACACTAGAGCTGTAACCCATGGCTGGACATAGCAGTAGCAGTAGTCTACGTCATAGCTCCATTAGAAGATCAGTAAATCAGTAAATCAAAACAGCTCTATAGTTACGGACTGACCGGACACAAAGATGAGCCCACATTTAGGTTTCTTAAATATTCCATTACATTTTGGAAGATCTAAAACACTTCACTGGGGAGGTTCCTGATTCTCTTCAGTGTTACTGCATGAAGAACTGCTTATTTGGAAATTATGTTGGCAAAGTGAAAGCTTTGAGTTTAATGTATGATGCATAGTCTCAATCATAATGACCTTATTCCATTAACAGAATAATGGCAGAAAATATGTCACATTTCTACCCCAGAAATGAATGAAGCAGTGAAGTATTAGTGGGTTCATTTTTGTATTAATTTGGGACAAAACAAATCCTCAAAGAGTAGATACTATTCAGTAACTTTCAGACAGGTTTTCATAGCAAAGATTTGCAGGGGTCATTTAATAAATTCAGCTTTATTCAGATAATATATAGTCTGTTACTTAGACACATATTTTGGATTTTTGATACAAATTTATGTAGTGATAATGTAAATTCATATGCAGCTATAGGAAATAACACAAAGAATTATCTTTTCAAAAAAGTGTTTTTGTTTGGAACAGGCTGCTTGACATCCTTGATTGTGTTTTAGAAGAGTAGCTCCCCCCCACTCAGGCACTGTTGCCACAGA